TCAGTCTTAGGTGCTCCCTCGAGGCAAGCCCTGATCAGGGGTGGGGAAGAGCAGGTTCACACCGCACATGCCAGGCAGACCTTGGGAGACATGTGTTGATGTTGGCAACCATAGAGCAGAGCCTGGCAGAGACACAGGATTTAAATGGGCCTGTTTCTGGCAGTGAGTGCTGGCTGAACCTCCTCAGGTTTGGACTAGAATGCTCTGGGTGCTTTAGTCACAGGAAGGATCTCTGGGTGACTTGGGTGGTAGGAGAGCTGAGGACTGTCCTAGTGGGAAGACCAGGGATAGGGTGGCCAGCAGGGAGAGCAGTGGAAGGAGAGATGGGGGGTGGCGGGGTGGGGGGGTAAGCTATTGGGTCTGCAGGATAGGGAGTACCAATAGCTACCCCCCACCCCCAGCCATCCCTGACTGCTTGGTCCTGAAAGGCCTCTGAACCACAGCTTTGAAATCGAGATGAGGCAGTCATGCTGACACACCCCGCCCCACCCCCAACGGCGTGATAGCCCATTCCGAGAGGACTTCAGACACAAGGGAGGGTGACTGTTAGGCAAGTGCACATCCTGGGAAAGAGTTACCTGAGGAAGAGGAAAGGGGCGTGGCACCTCCCTGCCTGGCTTCTCCTGCTGGCCTGCATTCAGATGGTGCCAGTGTTTTGTGAATGCTGCTGTTTTCTCAGAGTGACATTCTGTGTTATTTGAAGAGGGGCACTCATTGTAAGACACCCTCAGTAGCCTTCACAGAGACCACACCATCTGCACTGTATACATGGGGAAAACAGGCTTAGTTCAGTTCCGAAAAAATAAATTTATTTCCCTTGTCAGAGCTAATCACCAGGGCAAGGTACAGCTAGGACTCCAGACCTTGTGTACCCTAATCGCATGACACCCCATGCCCTACCAATAGCCCTCTGTAGCTGGTGGCCCTGTGGTAGCATGTCTCTTGTAGTCACACAGTGCACTCTTAGCAGCCACCCCACTTCCTCTCCTGTTTCTTCTCCCAGAATACAGCTTGTGACTCCAGAGAGCTGGCCGAGGCTGAAGGGTGATCTGGGAATATGAAAGACAAGGGTAACCATTCTATAGCTTAATGGACCTGGACCTTGGACATCTGCCAGAAACCCCAGAGATGCTGTGAGCATAGCCAGACCACAGGGAGAGGGGGAGGCTACTCCCCACACATGCACATGTGTTGCTCTATTTTTAAGATTTCTTCTTGGAAGGCAGCAGGCCTTGGAACATGTGCAATTTCCAAACTGTGAGATGGAGCAGACAGCTGAACTCTTCAAAGTATCCATGGTGCCTATCCTCACATCTACACACATTTACATCCCATCTACTCACAGTCTCATAGGACACCAAATAATAATGATAAATATAACCCAGGTAGGGTATACACACCCTCAATGCCAGCACCTGAGAGGCTGAGGCAGCCAGATCCCAAGGACAAGGCCAGCTTCAGCATCTTTGGGAAACTCTGTCTCAAAAATAGAAAATAAGGTCCAGAGAGACATGGAAACAAACTGAATTTGATCTTCAGGACCCAAAAACTGAAAAGAGAGAACTAACTCCCACAAGGTGTCCTCTGATCTGAGTGCACACGCACACACTGTGCACACATGTGCCTGCACAAACACACACACACTGTGGTACACATATGCCTGCACACACACACACACACACACACACACACACACACACACACACACACTCAAATATATAAATAAAATGTTGGCCAGGAATGGTGATGCACACCTTTGAAACAGAGGCAGGTAGATCTCTATGATTTCAAGACTAATATGATCTACAAATCGAAACTTAGACTACCAAGGCTACACAGTGAGTTCTTGTCTCAAAACAATAACAACAACAAAAATATAATTTAAAAATTTTAATGGAGATAAATAAATAAATGGACTAGAGATGTAATTCGGTGGTAGAGTGCTTGTTTAGATGTGTGAGGTCCTGGGTTCAATCTGCAGCACCACAAAAATAGAAAAGAAGCAAATAAATAAATGTTTGCTGAGTTAAGGGTCTGAGCTTCAGGGGCTTCTTATGAAACAATAACTGGTGCACTATGATTGGAAATGTATTTATCTTTTTAAAAAATGTCTTTATTTTTAATTATGCACATTTGTGGGTAGGGGTGGGGGTGGGGCATGTGTACATGAGTCATACACCAGTGGAGGCCAGAAAAGGATGTCAGATTCTGTGGAGCTGGAGTTACAGGTGGTTGCAAACCATCTTCTGTGGGTGATGGGAACTAAACTCCAGTCTTCTGCAGTTAACAATGAGCCATCTCTTTAGTCCCATATTCAAACTTTTGAATTTATTAAGGAGGTTTCTTGCCCAGCAGTGGTCTAGAGGCCAGAGGAAGGAGGCATGGACTCTGCTTTTACTGGAGCCTGTTGGACACGATGAGTCGGTGGCACAGCTCTCGTCCAGCTGAGCTAAGTTGTGCATCTTCTCATGCACTAAGTGCCAGCTGTGTCTGTCTGAGCAGTTGGGGGTCATGCTATCAAAACAAATAAACAAAGATACCAGCTCTTAGGAGGGTGCTTCCTGGAGTCTTTCATTTGGTGGCTCTTTGAACTTGACTTTCACACATAGATAATAGCTAAAAATTCCACATAATGGTGGGACTCAGCCTTGCCCATACCACACAAGGAACCTAGGATACTGAAATCATCTTGTATTCTATCTGTCTGAAAACACAGACCCTGTCAATAGACCTTGGCCCTCGCTGCAGAGGAGGTGGGTCAACTTTGATCCTGAAAGTGGGTCCAGATGGGGAGCAGCTGTGACTCCCCACAGCCCACTCCGGTTTCCTGATCCCAACACAGTAGGAATTAATGCTTCTCAAGCTTTGCTTGCTCATAGATATGTGGGGCTTCAATGTGTCAGTGTGGGACTTGAGCCGTTAGGATTATGGCTGGGTCACCTATGGACACAGCTGGATCCAGGCTTGATCTTCGCACAAGGTGCTCAGCGACATGCTGTTTGGAGAGGGCTCCTGTTAGGAAGCATGGGTTGAAGATGCAAACTTGCAACTAAAGATTCTGCTGTTGAGTCTTCCTGGCTCAGAGCAGAAAGAATACTCCAGAAGGGTCCAGGAGCGTGAGCACTGGGGTGCCCCCTATGAGGGCCTGCCCCATCCTTGTGCATAGCCAAGCCTTCTGGATGGCATTTTCCTAGCTGGTTTTAAGCAAATACCTTGTCATAATATTTGTGCTAAGTTGCCATTTATGATTTTTTTTTTTTAAGCTTTGACACTATCGCAAAAGAAAGCTTTGGAGACAAGGCCGGCTTAGCCAAAAGGTCAGGACTAGAAAACCAAACATGAGCTCAAGTTGCCTTTGAGATGGCCTCTCCCAGGTGACTGCGGCTCTTGTTGCATATATATATATTCCTGTGGTCACTGGCTATGGCCCTCCTCCGGGGAACCCCCTGATAGAGGAGGCCAGGTGGTACTACTGGTGACCGGGGTAGGTGAGACCAAGGATACCACGGGGCAGTGAGGTGTGGGCCTGATACAGCCTAGTGCTATTACTTCCTAACCATGTCACAGACCAGCAGGTCCTACCCCGCACCTGCTCATTTAGCTGGTGCCCAGTGTCTGTCAGAGAACAAATCTAGTCTCATCTGGGGCAGTTTTCAAGCCTGCCTTGCTGGCACAGTCGATGGGCAATCAACTAGAACCCATCAGTGCAGATTTAGGTTTCCCTTCTACAAAGGAAGACGCCAAGGCTCAGAAAGGCAGAGACACTTGCCCAAATATTAAAGGCCTGTTCAACCCCTACAGCCTCTGAGCCTGCTGTACAGGTTTCTAGCAAGGGGACACAGTTGTTTCCTTTGAAGACCAAATGTTTAAACACTACTTTTCGTGTGTTAAGATTCTGTAGTGACAAGACCAGCTTTTGTTTGATCAGGTGAGCCCAAAGCAGGTTAAAAGTATAAATCTGGGGGTCTCCCTGCTGGCTGAACCTGGGTCTCAGGTCAAGTTTGAATCCCTGGTCTGAGTCATGTCTCTCATTGCCCACTGACTCCCCACAGCCCGCTCAGGTCTCCTAGTTCCAGCACAGCAGATGCAGCGGGCTGGGTCCACGCAGGAATGCAATCCCTGAACCTCCGCCCTGCCCTTGGACTCCACAGGATCCCGTATGAGTTGTCTGGAAGAGGAGTACAGGCTCCCAAGAGGGCCAAGTAGGGAAATAGAGGCAAGGGCCCTGGGGCAAGCAAGATGGCAGCAATCCTGGAAGCTCTTGCCAGGGCCCTGCCAAGAAGAACACGATGCAAAGACTTTTGTTCTGTTGGTCCAAGACAGGGGCAGGGTCCCCTGGGAAAAGCTGAACTGGGCTGAGTGCACAGGCTGTAGTGTTTCCTGCAAGGACAGATGCCTCTCTGTGTCACCCAAAAACCTGCCCTGCCCCTCTAAGCCCTGCAGGGCCCTAACTCTGAGAGTGACTGCTAGTGACCAAATCCAGGTGACTCCAAGAGGACAGAGAGGCCCATCATACCCGAGGGCAGCTGAGGACCACAGAATGGCCTGGGCCTGGAGCTTGGGTTGCTCTGCCTTCTTGCTCTCTGCTTCCCTCACCCAACCCTGCACAGACTAGAGCTATGGCACCCTGCAGGCACCCAGAAGGGAGGGGGTCCAGCCTGCTGTACAAAGGCCCTGCCATACTAGGAGGGTGCCGCCTCTTTCTCCGCCTTCCCTGAGTATACCCCCAGTGTCCCTGCGGGAGCTGGAGGCGACATGGGGTAGCTTTCTTTTGGGGGTGGGAGAAGTTGGGAAGAGAAGACTGTGCTGCCCCAGAGAGGCTGAAAGGAAAGATCCAATATCCCCTCACTCTGCAGCACCCATAAGGAATCCTGATTTTCTGGGGGTGCTCGTCCCAGCCCAGGCTGTCCCCGGGAGCAAGCAGGGGCTACCGTCAGCCAGTACCAGGGTGGGGAGGGGACAGTGGCTGGGGCCGCCTCTCTGCCTCTCCAACTCCCTCCTCCACTGAGGGCGCGGCGCGCAGCCGCCAGCTCAGTGAAGGCGCGAGGAGCCCCGCAGGCTCCGGCGCAGCAGGAGGTGTGCGAAGTCGGGGTGCGGGGAGAGCTCGAAGCAGAAGAGGGAGAACGAACGAGGGTGAGCACGCTGAGCAGCCGTGCGTGCGCTCCGCCCGCTCTGCGCCACAGGATCGTCTGACGAAGCACAAGCCAGCAGGGTCTCTGTCCTGAGGACATTGCTGCCACCCAGGCATTCAGAGAACCAACCACATAGAATCTGAAGGTCGAAGCAGCCCCAGTCTGGGACCGAGGAAGAGCGGAGCCAAAAGGCAGATCCCAGACTCTGGAGGAGAAAGGAGAGTGGATTCCGGAGACAGCACGTCGCGAGCCCCAGAGCTCCCAGGATAGTCAGGATCGCGCGCTTCGCCGCTGGACGGCACGCCCCCCTTAGCTTCTGCACTCTCCCCTCTGGGCACCTCCTCACCTGCCCCAGAGGAACTTTCACCCGCTGAGGTGCAAGACAAAGCCACGCACCCGGCGCCCACCATGCGCCTCAACAGCTCCGCACCGCAGGGCGCCCCTGGTGAACCCGGCGCCCAGCCCTTCCCTTGGCCGCAATCAGGACTGGAGGCGATGCTCTTGGCGCTCGGCTTGGGCAATGGCTCTGGCAACAGCTCGGAATCTGTCCCGGCAGCGCCTAACAGCGACCTGGACGTGAACACTGATATCTATTCCAAGGTGCTGGTGACCACCATATACCTGGCGCTCTTCGTGGTGGGCACTGTGGGCAACTCAGTGACAGCCTTCACTCTAGCGCGGAAGAAGTCTCTGCAGAGCTTGCAGAGCACTGTGCATTACCACCTGGGCAGCCTGGCACTGTCCGACTTGCTCATCCTGCTGCTGGCCATGCCCGTGGAGCTGTACAACTTTATCTGGGTGCACCATCCCTGGGCCTTTGGGGATGCCGGCTGCCGTGGCTACTATTTCCTGCGTGATGCCTGCACCTATGCCACAGCCCTCAATGTGGCCAGCCTGAGTGTGGAGCGGTACTTGGCCATCTGCCATCCCTTCAAGGCCAAGACCCTCATGTCCCGCAGCCGCACCAAGAAATTCATCAGTGCCATATGGCTAGCCTCGGGGTTGCTAGCTGTGCCCATGCTCTTCACCATGGGCCTACAGAACCGCAGTGCTGATGGCCAGCACCCTGGTGGCTTGGTGTGCACACCCATTGTGGACACGGCCACAGTCAAGGTCGTCATCCAGGTAAGAGTGTCTTAAGTGGGGATTGTGTGCTATGCCACATTAGAGAGCGCACCAGGGTAGCCACTGTTCCCAGATGTCTGTTTCTTTCCATTGGAGCCACACAGAGACTTTCAGCAGCGTTACCTTAGGGGCCCCAGTGAGTCAAGGCACCACCCGGGGAGACACAGCAGTGTTGCCTTGTGGAAAGAACCGTACCTCAGCAGCACTTTCTTCTCCCTTGTCTCAAAGTAGGCCCAGTGACATCATCCTGGGCACTGACAGAGCTCAGTAAGGCTGCTCCTAGGAGGCAGGGAAGGGGCAGAACACCTCCAGCAGCTCATCCCTTCTTCCTTAACTTTTCACTGGCAGCTGCCTGCCCCACCCTACTTCTTCCCCTCCTGTTGAAGGGGGCTTGAGCCCCAGCAGTGACTTCCCTCCATCTACTGCAATATGACGGCACTCTCAGGGGAGGAGGCTGTCATCAGCCTTTCAAGAGGTTACAATGTCTGATCCCCAGGCGACCCCCCACCCCAATGCCTTCTGGTTGCCTCTCCTGGACCCAAACCCGGGAGTTGGAGCTTTAACCTTGGACATGTCCCTAGCCGAGTTGTAGTTTACCCACCTGAGAAATGAAACAGTCACAACATTGAAGAGAGAGCTAGAAGAGGGGTTCCCAGGTCCCCAGGGTGCCGAAGCACTTCCAGGCAGTGCCCTTGTTGCTGCTACTGGTAATGTGTCTGCAGAGCAGTCTGGGGTGTCTGGGTGTGGTGAGGCAAGTAAGATTGAGGAGGGCATCCGCAGGGGAAGCTGGAGCAGAAATAACACTTTAAGCATTGTAGTGCGACGTCCAGAGGCTTGCAAGTTTGAGGCAAGCCTAGGCTACATAGTGAGACCCTGTCTGGAAAACAAGAAAAAAGAAAAAAAGGAAAGAATTATGATTTGAATAATTTCTTGGCCCCAGACCCTGGACAACCATGGAGGTACAGGGAGGGTTCTCCTTCACCTCAGGGTGGGCAAAGAAGGCAGAGAATGAGACAGTCTGGACAGGGGCTCCTGCCATGTTAGAGGCCTCCAGGGAAGCCAGCTGTCCCATGTGTCTGTCACCAAACCATGAGAGCCTCCCACAGCCTCCCAGCAGGATTCCATGGTCACTTTAGAAGCCACATGGTATGTTCAGGTGCCACCCAGAAACTAGCAATGCTGGGTGGCTTGTAATCGGCATTCCGACTCTGGGCAGTATTTAACTCAACAGGTCTACTCTGAGGTGGGCCATGGGGCCAGAAATACACTTGTGCTACAAGTGTCCCTGTATGGGGCCCCTCCTGAGATGCCGCTCTTAGCAGGGATAAGCCAGTGCTCAGCTTCTCGATCAAGATCCTGCGCCTTGAGACAAGCACATTTGGTGGGTGTTCGAATTCAATGGGTGCTTTGTGTGGTGAGCAGTGGGTGATCGCCATGGCTTCTCACTTCCTTTGAGGCTTGTTTCTTCCTTCAAGCTCCTGTCTTTAATCAATTTTGTGGGAGGGGGGCCTGGGGACAGCAGCCTCTCCACCTGTAGGGCCTCAGCAAGAGGCCAGCACAACTCATCTTCTGAGGTTCCTGCAGAACCCGTTGGAGCCACAGAACTGGATCCCCATATGACAGGGTGTCTCCTCCCTCCCAAAGCTCTGATGTATGGAACTTGTCATTGCTTGGCAGCTTTGGGGCCCGTTTGACAACATCCTGGTCATTGTCCATCGGTAATGTTTGCTGAGCACCTACCCTAGGCCAGGCTCCCCTCTGTAGCTGTCATGGTGTTGGCTGAGAGTTTACTAAGTGCCTGCTGGCTGCCTTCCTATGAGCCCCTGGAGAACAGGGGCTTCCATTTTTCCTCAGAAGACTCAGCCTCATTCTTGGAGTGACTGATTACAGCATGTTCTTCATCCATCTGATATTAACAGTTGACCAGGCCTCTCTGGCTGGGAACGCAAGCTCTTCTGGGTACTTGATGAGACCATTCCTCCCTCATCCCTCCTGCACCACTATCCACCATCTGAAGATGTGTTTTGTTTCCTGGGGTTATGGGGTTTGTGGTGTTCACCAGGATGTCTGGGTACCTGAAACAGATCTGAATGGATAGCTTCTGCTCTACTGAGTCCCCAATCAGGGCTAGCCATCCCATGTCTCCATCCCGATGACCATATTTGGAAGTATTGACCCATTGGCCTCTTTCCATACAGGGACATCTCCCTGCCTTAGCACCTGCTGTGAGGACTGACTACTCTGCACACTTAAAGGATTCCATCTCAGGCACTTGTCAATCAGAATGATTCAAAAATGAGCTGAGAGTTAGGTGGTAAAACTTCTGAGCAACTGAGAACAGTCACTGTTTGGAGGCCACGTGTTTGGGGTGTAGCAGGATGGGGCGGGGCTGGCCAAGCAGTGGAAGGAGCAAAACAGCAGGTGAAGCCTGGTACCCAGCTTCTCCCAAAGGCTTGAGACTTGCCTCTATACCGGTGACAGGAGGAAGAGCTGGGGACTTCATGGTGTCCAAGGGTTCCCCAAGACTGTCACATGTCCCTGCCCAATCCTGAGCCCTGTGTGGCCCTGATGCCACCCAGGCCAGCTTCCTGCTCTGACCTATAACTGTCCTGCTCCTGCTCCCTGCTCTGACCTGCTCTGTAACTGTCTTGTAGTTCTCTGTTGCTGACCCTGAAGCTTGTGTCCCAGACTATAGCTTATATAAGTCCTTGTCCACATGTCCAAGTACTGGACAGGTACTGAATATGCACACATGGGGAGGAAAGGTGAGTCCATGGACTGTGTCCATCCTCCCCAATTCCAACCACTCAGTTATCCTTGAATGCCTCTTTTCCAGTGAAAATGGAAGTATTCCTTTTGTAGTCAGACTCAACTTTAGATGCAGCATCATCACTGGAGAGAGTGCATACTCCCTCCCTGGGGCGGGAGAGGCTACACTCCACACAGGGAGAGGTGGTGCCTACAGCTGCCACCTAAAATCTACAGCAGATCAATTGCAAGGTGACATGGGGAGCACCCAGGCTGGTCAGGGATGATTAGGAAATGAAAAGCACGTTGACTCCACAAAGAAGAAAACTGGTTCCAATAGTTCACAGAAACACAGCCTGGGAAAAGGTCACAGGTGTGTGTAGGGGAAGCAATAGTGAGCATTGGGTATTAGTCTCTTTTATATACTTGCAGTGTTTCATGATCAAAGTTTGTTGTTGTTTTTTAATTACTGTGTGTATGCTCGCACACACTCAAGTGGAGGTATATGCACGTGGAGTTCAGAAAATAACTCTGAGGAGTCGGCTCTCTCCTTCCACTGTGAGGCCCGGGAGTCACACACAAGTGGTCAGGCTGGTGCAGTGGGCACTTTTACCAAGCTGAGCAATCTTGCCATCCTGGTGATTAAAGGTTCTTTTGTTTTGTTTTTTTGAGACAGGGTTTTGCTATGTTACTCTGGTTGTCCTGGAACTTGCTCTGTAGACCAGCTGTCCTTAAACTCACTGAGATCCACCTGCCTCTGCCTCCTGAGTGCTGGGATTAAAGGCTTGTGCCACCATGCCCAGCCTGATGACTGAAGTTTTATTATTATTATCATCATCATCATCATCATTATTATTATTGACTATTTTACTAATGTGTATGTGAGATTGTGTGTGGTTGTACCCTGGAGCTAGAGTTACAGGGGTGTGAGCCGCCTGATGTAGGAAGCATTCTTAACCACTGAGCCATCTCTCCAACCCCTGGTCAAAGCTTTTAAAAGCCCAACAACATGCTATATATTGCTGGACATAGTGGTGCATATCTGTAATCTCAGCTCTCAGGAGACTAAGACTGGGCTATCTAGGAAAACCTGGTCAGAGAGGACTAGAGTGGGGTGGGGTAGAACTTGGTTTATGAAATCTGGTGTTCAGTCTATAGACGGTAACTGAGCATCGTGGGAAGGGTCTAAGGCTCTGGGGAGCAAGGCAGACTGAGATGGTCTCCCAGGAGGAGGTAACCCTCACCTTGAGAACAGGGTGATCTCTCCTGGTTGCTGGCCTGGCCTAGCAATGCAGGACATGAAGGATGGAGACATGCAGGCAATCCAGGTGGGGGCCACACTGGGACCTTGCTTCTCAGAAAGCAACAGGGGCAAGGTCATACAGTCATGTCAATCAGGTGACTGAAAGAGCACTTGTCCAATGTATCCATCTGACTGTTGGTGCTTCTGCTGGGGATAAGGGTCAGTGTCTCTGGGAGATGAGCAAAGAGAAGGGAGGGAAAAAAAAAGCCTTCTCCACAGCAGCTCAGCTCAGGGGCTATACATGTAGTTCCTATAATATCCAAGTGCTGGGCTCATAGGCCTTATCCTCAGACGGATAATTTTCTTGAAGACTGTTCATCCTTGAGGCCTTCATCTGCCACCCTGTTGCAGGGTGCCAAGGACAGTGGAGTTGTTCTCTGAGCCTCATGTCATAGTCTCAATATATTGTACTGGGAGGCAGGGACTCTGGTTGATCAAGTCTGATAATGTGACAGAGATGCTCCCATGATCACATTCAAACAGTGTGGCCCCAGGGCCAGCCTGACATGGAGGACACTGCCATCATATCAGACCATACACCAGGATTGGAGGTCTGTCTGTTCCGCAAACTTGTATGATTTTCTAGCTGTTTGTGTTTACAGGAAGGAGAGATTCTTAAAGCCTTTGCGCACTAAGCTGCTATCGGTCAATGTTTTATCATAGACACAGAATGCAAAGTCGAACAGGGCTTTGATTAGCTTGGCCAAGTTGAAAGGACCCTCTACCTTCTTAAGCCGGACACCTGTGTCCTCTGGAGGCCACTTCGTTAGTGCCAGGGCTGGTTTGGAAGGCAAACCAGATACAATTAGTGACTTGGCAGATACTCCAGCAGTTTGGGGGACACCCCAGAGCAGCAGTCTGGAGCTGGGTTCAAATCTCCACTCTATAGATGAACAGCTACAGGACCCTGGGCACTTTGTTTCCTCGCGTGCCAACGGTGGATGAGTTA